AAATATTAAAAAAAAGTATATACTAGTATATAATTTAATCTGTATAATTTAAATATTAGAACAAATTATATCAATCTTCAAATAAACTCAAGCTTTAAGAAAAACAAGATTAAATATACAATAAGCAATTTAACTCTTTATTGGTTTTAAATATATACAACTTAAAAAAATAAATTGTAATATTAACTTAATTTATATATTTTCAGAATCAGCTAAAATCATCTGGATAATAATCTATATTTCATTTATATGAAGTGCTATAAATTTTTGGATAGCAATCCTAGCTAATTCTGTATTTTTGATATCAATAAATATAAATATAATATCATAAATTTATAGAATATTCAATAGTATTATTAAATATTACTAATAAGTTACTGATTTTATCTTTATATTATTAGAAAATTTTTAAGGCTATTATTTATCTCAATAGTTTTATGATATTTAATATCTAATATCAGTAACATATTGACTTCAAATATTTATTCAATAATCATCTTTTTGATATAGCTTCATTTAACCTGTATTAATATAATAAAGCACTGAGGCTGAAGGTTTGCATTACTTTACTATAACAAATATATAAATATAGCTATATGCATTAGACACTTGTGGATACTTGGACACTTGGACATTGGACAGTGTCAAAAAAGTCTTTAGACAGTCAAAACGTACATCACTGCTCTTCTGGTTTGGATGCCAGATATAATAGAGAAGTCTACTTAGCAGAGAAATTTAACCTCTACATAAACTATACAAAGTAGTCTGCTCCTCAGTTTTATACTCTTGGTACTTACCCAGATAACTCCTTTCAAACATCTATGCCTACTCTGGCTCAACTTAAAAATAAACTAAACCTTACTAAAATTGCACTTAACCACCATCAACAACAAGCTATCTACAAAGAAATTAAACAAAAAATTGAAGATCGCAATAAATTATTTTCAGAAACACCTAAACTCTTTTACAAAAAAATTCTTGAAAAATACAACAATATCCGAATAGACAGAGTACTTACAGACAACTCCCTACTCACTGAACAGGATGAAATTTTATCCTCAATTCACTCTCACTTCACCAACTACTTTCAATCTAAACCACTTGAATCTATACCACCTTCGAGTGAATTTTTCTCTTTTTACGAACCACATCCTGAACTTGAACACTACTATAAAGATCTTACTCAAGAAATATCTAAACAAGAATGGCAAGAAATAATTTCTAGCCTTCCTAATCAAAAAGCTGCAGGTCCTTCTAAAATCTGCTATGAACACATCAAATATGCTAGCTTTAAAGCCCAAAACCTTTTTAGACTCTTTCTAAGCAAATGCTTACAACTTCAAAAAATTCCTACTAAATGGAAATCTTCTAACATCTTTCTAATTCCAAAAAAATCAAACTGGGATTATACTCTCAACCAAGTCCGTCCAATTTCTATAATTGAACCTTTCAAAAAAACACTTACAAAAATCTTTACTAAAAGATTAGACAATATCATTACTTCAAACAATCTTCTTTTTAACCTAAACTTTGCAGCTACGAAAAACTCTTCCACATATATTCCTATTCAAATTCTTAACAACACTATCGAACACTACAAATCCTGTAACAAAGAAGCCTGGATTCTCTTTCAAGATATGTCTAAAGCTTTTTATAAAATTAATATCTTAAGACTTCAAGACACTTGCAAAAGAATAGGTATCTTAGTTGCAGGCATTAACTTTATTACAGAACTTCACACTTCTCACCTCGCCAGAGTTATCACTAGCCATGGACTTACCTCACCTATCCAACTTAATTCTGATTTTGAACAAGGTGAAACTTATTCACTTTTACTCTGAAAAATCTACTATGATCCCATTCTTTTATTTATAAACCAAAAATATCAAAACCACCTTCTTAAAATTTTCTCTCAATCTCCTCTTGAGATTATCACAAATATAACTTCATCATCAATTACTATCCCTCCACTAGCTTATATGGATGACACAACTTGGCACTGTGAAAATCCAGCCATAATGCAGGACATTTTGAATAATACATCTACTCTCTACAAACTTAATAACATTAAAATTAATACTACAAAATCAGACCTACTTTATATTAAATCAAAATCTTTATCTTCACCACCTATACTCTATGCAAATAATCAAGCTATTACTCCTAGAAAACCTCATGATGTTATACGATATCTTGGAGTTTTCTATGATGGCAATGGCTCTCCTAAACCTACACTTGACACAATCCTTAACAAAATTGAAAATTTCCTTAATCTCATAAAATACAAAAAAGTAACACCCTCTCAAATATCAGCGTTATTTAATTTAATTCTACAACCCTCTCTTGAATACTTGCTACAAATAACTTCAATTCACAAAAATATACAAACTAAATTATCTCGATTATTTACTATTCAATCTAAAAAAATACTATCATTAGCAAAAAATACTAATAATGTTACTCTTACCAATCCACTTTCTTTTAACCTGCCAACTCTTAATAATATTATTCAAAAACTAAGTGTCTCAAATATTGAATGCATTTTCAACTCCTCTACTATTCTTAAGAATATTAGCACTCTTCGTATTAAAGCCTGGCTTACCAAAGTCTGGTCCCCTAGGCTTACTATTAATCTATTAAATAAACACTATCACAAAATACACAACTTTACTTTAATATTTCACCTTTCACAATTAGCCAAACATAATATTTCCTTCTCTAACTACTTACAAATCTCACCTTATCCTACAAACATTTCTGAAAACCTACCCACCATTTATGATATTCTTCCTCCAAATCCACCTCCTTTAACATTAAATAGTCTAAGAAATAACAAAATACTCTTTGTTGAACAAATTACAACTGTTGACAATACCAAACTTCTCTCATAGAACAATATTTATTTACGTACAAATAAACCAGCCAAAGGCTGTCAACCCTTATAGTTTATACAAATTTCTCAACTTAATCAAACAAATACTATATCTACAACTTGGCTCTCTCTTAATTTACCTTCTACAAATACCTTTATTAATACTATTGACCTCCTATCTACATCTTTTCTCTCTAATCCTTCTTCATTTCTTCAAATTTCTTATACAAATAATCAACAAATTTATCTTTCTCACCAAATTAATCTCATACAACTCAATATTTACAAAGTTACAAATTCAACACCTGGTCTTATTTCACTTACTTCCTCTACATTACCATCTTTACCAACTCTTCATTC